CCGCATCGATTATCCGTAACAACCGATCCGATAACGAGTCACGACACGCTTTACTCGCATTGTATCGTCGCGTTCGCGATACACTGCCACTGTCTAAATAAAAGTGAATCGTACAACCAGGTCTACGAGTGTAGAGCTCGTCCGGCGGTGAACATAGAACAGATCGCTAGAACTACCAGTAACAACGAAACGTTCCAATTTGTTTGTTTCACAATTATCGATGTCTTAATGCTAACCATACCGGCACTTACGTGCTAAACAAGTTAGCTCTAAACAAATTAGATTGCTTTCAGTGGAAACAAACGAAAGGATAAACATTGAGAAATTAACCGGACAATATAGTTGATATGCAATTAAATGAACAAGAGGATTGATTTCAAACAGTGAAACTATAAAATTTCATATTTAATATTATACCTTGCATAATCAATTCAAAAAATATTGAAATAAAATAGCTTTCCTCAATGTACCTCAATGTAATATAATTTCTCTTCGAGTTAGTTTCACTAAATATACACAATACAAAGTTGAATATTAAATCTCAAACTTTACAATTCACCTGTGTCAAATCAATTAACAGAGAAGCGCCTCCGCAGTGCAAAGGGACAAACACTTGGCAGTTCTAGCGTCGACTCGAAAGGAAGAATTTGTATACGCATTTACAGAACACCGATAGAATCCGAACGAGCTCCGGTGTATCTCCTTCCGTACAATGACACGACACAGACGAGTAATAAATATCAGATACAAATGAACCGATGTTTTGCCGTCTTTCGCTCGAGTTCAAGGCGAAACGAGAATCGCAGAGACACAACCTCCGATAGACCCGGTTTGAACGAGACTCGTAGAAAAAATCGGTGCCCGATCGTCCCGATCGGTAGTAAGTACAATGGCGAATGACTGAATTTACAAGACGCGCAATCGGTTCAACCGATCCCTCGAACAGTCCCCGAACACGCTAGGCGATCGAACGAACCGAACGCCGTTGAAATTAGAAACGCCGCATGACGAGAATGACCAGCCGGCCGAGAATTCTCTGTCCCGATGACTGTTCAAACTGTTCATCTTCAGCCCCCGCACGTGTAGGCCCTTTCGAGGACTAGCTGGTTAAAAACGGGTGAACGCAAATCGAAACAACGTCAAAAGGCTTGCGCGCGTACTAAAACGATTTTGGTGGACTCTCTGAACGTTCGTTCCGATCTATCTGTAAAAGTAGCGAAAAATCGTGTACTAGAGATATTCAGACACTTATAATTACTTCGAAAATAAATAGTTACAAAAATAAGCGAGCATTTTATGCTTAAAATACCTTAGGTAAAAACTTAATTAATTTGCACCACAATACGGAGTGGAATGTGTGGTATTCTATATTACTAGATCGTAAAAAGCGTAATTCTAAACAGAAGGTTCAACTACCGTGTAAAAAACATTAACGACAACTCGTCTATTACTCCTAGTTACTCGTAGTGCGACAGCTCGATAAAAAAACGAAAGAGGGAATAAAAGAGAGAGACAGAAAGATAGAAAGATAGAGAGAGAGAAAGAAAAAGAGAGAGTAAGAGAGAAACACGTGGGTCAATAAATAAGAGGTGCAACGAGAGATTAGAAATAGGATAAAGGACGCGACCGGTATCGATCGACTCGTCGACGATCGTCGGTGCTCGCAGAATAAATAAACTGTGCTGGAAAACCTAGTATCCCCGCGAAGATTGTTAGGTACATTGTTCGATTCATCGTC